TTATTCAATCATTATGGATTGAATAATTAAACTGAAAATACTTTGAATAATTAATAAAATAATTCCACCTGTACATTGTTCATTAATTGCTCGTGTTCCATAACCAATTGTTTGTTGAGTTTCAATTGAATAAAGAAGAGCACCGGAAAAAGTTTTCACACCAGAAATACACGGAATATGTTCATTTGAAGTTTCATTCGATGAATTTATGGAAAAATCATTATGAATATACATAATAATATACCAAATAACAGCGAAAATTAACCAAGATATAACAAATGAGAAAGAAAATAAAATTAAAATAAATCTCCATTTTAAATCCAATAAACTTGTAAAAATATCACGAAAATAAAGAATTCGATTTTCCACACGTAATTTTTCGATATTAATATTTCCATCTTTTGTTATTAATCGTTTTCGATCTAAAATCAATTTCGAAAAATTTCTTTTCTTTATTAAAAATGGAAGATTTACTTTGATGAATTGTTTCTAATGAAGGTACTCTGAACAAACGAAAAACAAGCAGAAATTTATAGAAAAATTAATAAGATATGTTACATGTTAATCAGATTATTAAGAGTTGAAGTTGGAACGTCATTTGATGAATTTTTCGAAAAACGAAATTTGACCATTTGTTTTGTGATGAAAGATGAGACTGATGTGACTTTTTTTTCCTCCGATTACTATTTTGATAAGAGCAAAACATCGCCTTTTTTTTCTTCTTCATAATGAAACGTTCCACATGAGTTATTTTTTTCAAAAGGATCATCACGATTTATTCATCTCTTATCGTATTTTATGAAAAATATTCGAATGGATTGCGTCTTCTGATTAATTCAATAAGACTTGAAAAGTCTTTTCTTTTTGAAAAATTCGACATTGGACCCAAAGAAAATTTGATGTTGAGTGACATCTGTTCTTCTCATAAATCATACAAAATGTAATTTTATCCCAAGAAAAACGTTATTCGATGAGAAGAAATTCAGATGTTTTTATCAAAAAGAAAGTTATTTTTTTATTTAATAAATGACGATGAAAAAACAAAACAAAACATCTTATCTCTCATTTAGTTTTTTTTCATCATTTTTTCTTTTTCATTCGATGTAAAATCATGTTAATCCTCATTTTATTTTCAACTTTATTCTTTCAAATCAATGCAGATTCGTTCTCTTGTCCAACAAATGTAAAATTGAAAAATATTTGTTTTCCCAATGAAATTTTCAAATTGATTTTCCAAAACAGGTGACATGTCTGCAAAAAGAAACATGTTGTGAAACAACAACTGGTCTATGGGCATGTTGTCCAATGGAAAGTGGAGTTTGTTGTAATGATGGACTTCATTGTTGTCCAAAAGATCATCTTTGTTTGTCAAATGGAACTTGTCATTCTGCAACGAATCAATCTTCATCAGTAAAATGTTTTTACTTGAATTTACTTTTCAAAATGAATTTGTTTTTCTCATTTAGTTATCTTTTCCTCTGAAAGATACTTTATCAATAGTTTCATGTCCAGGTTAATTGAAAGAATTCTTTTGTAAATCAGAAGAATCCTTTCTTTTGTCAAAATATAGATGGAAGTTCATGTCCCAATGGAAATACATGTTGTCAAATATCATCAGGAGAATATGCGTGTTGTCCTTTACGTAAGATTTCGTTCGATTTCGTATTTTAATTTGAAAATTTCATTTCTATTTAGCTGATGCTGTTTGTTGTAGTAAGTTAGTTGAAATAAAGTTCTGGATATGAAAGATTTGATTAAAAAGGTGATTCAATTCATTGTTGTCCAAATGGATACGAATGTAATGTCGAAAGAGGACAATGTTTACAAGACAAATCTTCCATACCGTGGGCAACGAAGATTTCATCAATTCGCAAAGATAATCCAATAGATTTCTCTCCATTAAAGATCAACACTCAAATTATTTGTCCTGATGCCACAAGTTTGAAGATTTTTATCAAAAAAGGAAATTTTTTTATCTTTGAAAAGGTTTGTGTCCATCGACATCAACATGTTGTTTAACAAAACAGTTAACCTGGGGTTGTTGTCCAATTGAAAAAGCAGTAAACATAGTTAATTTGAAATCAAAATTTATACAAAAATTATTTAAGGTTTGCTGTGCTGATCATATTCATTGTTGTCCAACACATTATAAATGTAATTTACATGAATCAAAATGTGATCATCCATTGTTCAATTCAATTCCTCTATTGAAAAAACACAAATCGATAAAATTATCGAAAACGATTCGAAAACCACTTGTTGAACAAACGTCTTTATCAACAATTCAATGTCCTGGTAAAATTGAAAGTTTTACAAATGTTTTTTGGAATATTTTTTTGAAAACTTTTAGACAAAAAATCTTATTGTCCAGAAGAAACAACATGTTGTCAATTAGGAGATGGGTCATATGGATGTTGTCCATATGCTGAAGCATCCTGTTGTTCCGATAAAGTTTGTTCAAATTGAATTTTTCTATTTTATAAAATAATTTCTGTGATGTAAAGATTCATTGTTGTGAAAAAGGTTATTCATGTGATATAACCTCTAAACGATGTATAAGAAGTTTTATTCAACCATTTGGTTTATTGAATCCAGTTGAAGATATTTTATGTCCAGATGGAATAACTCAATGTTCATCAACAACAACTTGTTGTCCAAATAAAGATAAAGATCCAGTTTCATATTCATGTTGTCCTTATGCAAAAGGTGTTTGTTGCGGAAGAAATGGTTCTATTTGTTGTCCCAATAATTATCAATGTGATGAAACTCAACTATCTTGTCAATTACAAGATTCAAAAAGTTTATTGAGAAATCGTCGACAAATTGATATTGATTTTCATCAATGTGGCCTATCAGATTTTGGTTGTTCAGCAAGTCAAACATGTTGTCGTACATATGGTTCATCAGATGGAGATTATGCTTGTTGCAATTTTCCTGGAGTAATTGAAATTTGAAGGAAAAAACATGGAAATATTCTTTTTCTTTATTTTCAAAGGCTCAATGCTGTGAAGATGGTCGACATTGTTGTCCAAAAGGTACAAGATGTGATACACAATATGGTGGTTGTATTCAAGAATGATTCAATTGTCTTTCACTGAGATTTTATTAATTTGCCGAAAAAAAAACGATTTACGAGATTTCAAAAACATTTATTTTGAATTCTGAATGAGATTTAGATGTTAACATGATTCCACTGTCCTTCATGGAACTTTTTACACATTTAGAACGTGTTTCTTTGGAAACAAAAAATACATCTCTGATTTTTGTCAGAATTTCATCATCTAAAGAGAGACTTCTCAAAGAAAAGTGCCATGATTCAATTATATTTGAGACTAAGTAGAAATCGATGATTTCAGCACAAGGACGATTCACCACCATGATCATATTATTAATTGACAATGTTACATACGTATGTAATTCAATTACTAGGAAAATTACACTCTCGCAAAAAATGTTATTAATGACTTTAAGTGAAAGTTAACAATCTAATGGTAGCTACATCTTTCTCATTTCATAATCTTGTTCAATTCTCTCGCTCCAACGTAATAAACCTACTGGCACGTGTTATTCGTTCTTAGTTGATTGTTATCGTGGTCCATCTACGATGTGCCTCGATTGTCGTGAAAATTGTAATGAAAAATTTGATTGTATCCAAGGAGAAGACGAACCACGATGTGAGTAATTGGAAATACATGAATGTCCTGAGAATGAAGACTCAGCTGGAATTAGTTCCGCATATGTTTTGGTTTTTGTGCTGTACTTTCAAAGTACAAAGATCAATCTTTTCTCTCTCTCGGATTGAATTTATGTGAATACGATGAACATTTTCTCGATATTCAGTGAATCGGAAGAAAAACGATTTATCGTGAGACGAGAAATTTCTAAAAATCAGAATAAATCGGACAATCTCCTTGTGAACGAGGAAACAATGTAGAAAACGAATTGATTGATGAAAGTAATAATACTATTAATGTATTGAAGTACTAGTGAGCTTTGCTCTTGAGAGTATCAATCCATCTATTATCTTCTTTGATAACAAAATCTATATCTGTTTTAATTTGAAGAACAATGTGTGGCATTTTCCATATTCAATACGCATTCATCAGGTCTTTTTAGTGATGGACGTATCTTTCATGATTCTCTGAATGATTTCTCTCGGTGAATATAAATTCGAGAGAAAATTCTCTTCACATGTAACTATCAGACAGGATCAGTGAGTTGAGAATTGTGACTTCGAAAAGAAACAACGATGCGTCAGGTCGCCAAGCAGTGAGAATCCAGGTAAATTTTCTCCCTTCTCCGTCTATCGATATACAAGTACATATATAAGGACAGTGGTTGCATGGATGCATTGTCATCGTCAACACGCATACGTGCATAAATACGAAGAGGAGACACCAATCGTTCTATATAAACATGCCGTTTTAAATGCGAGAATGTTGTAACATAAAACATCGAATGCAGCCAGCAGTATGGACATATAACACTTCGATGAATATATCTAGAAAGAAAGATAGGCGGAGAAAGTCACCGAATCAGAGAGATAGAAAAGAAAATCCAGAAAAGAAATCATCGGAGAAACAAATAAAAATAAGGATAAAACTGCAACACCATTCAACCTTCAGTTTTCTTCGATGCGTGGAAGTAGAATGTTCATGATAATGCTGACGAGCTTTTCGAATGTGTTTCGTTCCGGCAAGTTATCCAGTGTGTCGCGTGATGCAGCTATTTGGCGCACATTATCAATGAAAGGTGGCTGGTGAGCAGGTTGCCGTGTGAAGAAAACATGCATCCGTCCGCTCATTATGTCAATGAGGTAGAGAACGATAGGTTCCATTCAGCTTCGATCACCTGTTATTTCCCTTTCTTGACCAGCATATTGGATAAGTGCCAGAGTGATAGGGACCGTACTTCTATCACAAACAATGGTGATATCAGAGACCCAGTTTAATTCATTGTCGTCATCGTTTGGGTTGAAACTTGAAGCTAAGTTAAATGAAACATTATGGAATCGACTGGTGGCAATGAATTTACGAAATTTATCTACATTGACCATCGGATCTTCCGGAAAAATATCATTATTCATCAGCCGAATAGCCATGAGTGAAGTATCGATCGCATTGTTATCTGAATTTGATACTCCTCCATACAGAAATACACTCTCAGCAATAGCATCATCATTTGATTCACAGAACATTTGCAACACGATCTCGATTATTCTTTTAGCATTGACCAGTGGCAACGCAGGTTCGTGTCCTAATAAAACGGAATCAAGGTGAGCCATGAAGACAAGATCGCTGTCGCTTATAAAAACAACAACAACGATGCATGTATTGGCACCACTACTGGCTAAACGAATATGCTCGCATAATTTTTCTCCGACGTTTACGTTCTTGATGATGGACATTGTTATATGTGCAATCAGACGAAGAGCGATGGGCAATGAGTGACCGAGTTTAAAAGTGAATGCGGTTTACTTTACAAAAGTGTACGTTATGTTTTTCTCTTCTCTATCTCTCACGTTCTACTGTTTATATATTTATCTGCTGAAATGTGAACATAAAAGAAAAACAACCATCCAGCTGGAAGAATACAACAGTGTGAATATACTGGATCTATTTTGTGAAGCCGATGTTCGCTTACACTCCTTTCGCCTCTTGCTATTCGCCATGTTTCAAGAGAGTAATATCAATTATCAAGCCAATTATTGGTTGAGTTCCGTTCGTGCGAACTTTTCAGCAGCAAAACAATTTGAGAAATCGCTTCCATTGAATTTTACAAGCGGCAGTTCTTCATCATCCTTGAAAATATTGCCTTAGAAATTTATTTTTATATTCATGCTTAGTCATTGACATTCACACTTGAAACACTGATCTTCCTTTTCAGAAAATCTCATTAATTTTTTACATTTTAAAACAAACGAGGATTATAGAATTGTTGAAGTAATTCCTCCCAGATTTGTGATCAATTTATTTTCCAAGAGTGATGAGACTATTGAGATGAAAGATCATTCATCATATTAAAGCCAGAGAATTATTTCTTCATTTGAATCAATCATGACACGAGCCGGCGAACCTTGTTCACCGCCTAGACGAGCATGCTGTTGAAGAAGTGTCTTGAATGTCGAGCGAGTTATTGCTGGCCGAGTTCGATGAAAAAAGCAGCCTTTGTTCAGATGTAGCACGGTAAATATCGATGAGGATGATAGGAGAGCATCAAGCCAATCAAGTATACATTTGACCATGACGGTCAGAGGCTCGAGCATGAAGCGACGGGGCCCAAGAAATGTGAGATATCGTAATCGAGGAAATACTTTGTGCGATGCTAAACGGCCGACCAATGATGCAGGAGGATTATCCTCTTCGTTGTATCTCAAACGGACAAAAAATCGTTCGATAGACGGCCACGGGGCGTCAATATCCAAGAGGTGTAAGGTATCATGCCACCACAATGTGAGACGTTCAAGCGTGGGCGCACACTGACGTAATTGTTCGAGGAGAATACGACGATGACTGATTGGTGTGTTGGGTTCGTGAAATTCGAAATTCACTTGACGCAACCTGGTAAGCATCACACACCATAGACTCGGATGTGGATCGATACTCTAAGGAGAAAAAAGAGTGATCGAGAATTTAACAGACGAAAATCACTAACTTGAATAACATAATTCCACTGCAGAAAACGAACATACTGTAGTCGAGCAACACTGTGATCGATCGACAATGGATCTTGATCAACTGTCCAACACAACTGATTATCCACTTGACTGACCGGAGATCGTCGAGCAAACGTGTGATTGTTCACCTGACGGCAACAGTCGAGCGGATAAGGAATCGTGTATAGCACAACTCTACTCGAATTGCCGTCATCGTATGTCTCTTCATCGACAGCACAATCAGCCAAGTTTAACCAGCAAAGATAATCGTTTCTGTCGAATATTGTTTCATTCGGAAACCGGAGCACAAATCGAAGAAAACATAAAGTGAGTAAATATCTTGAAATGGCGCATTTGAATGTAATTAATTGGTTTGTATCTGCGAAAGAAGGGATATTGCAACAATTTGAGAGATATTTATTACATACCTGTTACATCGCAGTGGATTAGTGTTAGTGATTTCAATCGAGCCATGGATGGAAGATGTTCAATTAACCCTCGGACGACGTTTTGTTTTTTTTGCACCAAAGCTGTATGTGGGTCCATCCGGACCTACCTTTGATTTACGGTGCAAAAGTTACATTTTACTCCTGGCAATACTATACATCGATGAATTCACGATATTCAGTTTGAACGAATTCTTTGACGAAGTTCAAAATCTACTTTCCATCGCTGATCAATGTGCATGTATAAAGTCATCCATGATGAGAGTAAGAAGAACTTCATGCTTGTTTATTTGGCATTTCATGACAAATGGAATAAAAACAGTTTTAAAAAAACTCCTCTTCACATGACTGACAAATAATTCTTATCTTACTAGCAGAATGAGAATTACACACGTGATTTCGACAAGCGTCGCAAACCTGTCTCACCTTGCGTCCTGGATGCGATGGGCAAAGATAACACCTCTTCTTTGTCTTAATCAATTCACCGTTACAATCTTGAGCTAGCGGCGTCGGTTGTTTCAGCTCGTATCCAAGTGATCGGAGAGCAAGTTTCGTTTTTGATGACAGACTAGACGATTCACTGCGACGTTTCTGGTGAGGAGTCATCAGGGATTGACTCAGACTAGATAAGAAACGATGACGAGTCTGCGTAGGTCTACTGTTCCACTCTGGATTATGGCTAACCCACACTGTCATTGCGTTGATGGCAGCTATATCAACCATGTTATAGAATACCATCATCGGCCACCTACGCGTAATACGACGAACGGAATAATTGGAGATGCATTGATCGACGAGGTCTACACCCACTTTTGTTTGATTGTAGTCGTGAATCATACAAGGAAGCCTCTTTTCGTCGTCGAAAACTTCGGAGAATTCATGGGATGTTGACAATAGTATAACGGGTGGTTTTTTGTCTTTGGCTTGGTACGACAGAATTGTAGTTTGTTCGCAGAAATAAAACCATGACGAGTATAAATCGTCTCGCGTCAGCTTCAATTCATTTGGCACGAAACGACGTTTTCGATCGACAACACCAAGCGAAGACATCTTACGCTCTAACAAAGCTTGCGACACATCAAGACTAGTGAAGTATCGATCATAAGTGACGTTGCGGTCTTGTTTGATGTTCGCAGGCAGTTGATCCACTAATCGTAAAACAACATTTGTGGCAAGATTTTTTTGGGCCACGTTGCCTTCTTTTCCAGTGTACAGATCGAGGGCTAATACGTACCGACTATTGACATCACATAAAAGCCAAAATTTCAGCCCGTATTTAGCCGGTTTTTTTGGCATGTATTGTATAAAAGAACAACGTCCTCTGAATGGAACCAATTGTTCATCGACAGTAACGTTTTCACTCGGCGTGAAATGTCGAGGAAGTTGTTTGACAAAGCGTTGGAAGATCGATCGGATTGGAGCGCGACGATCAGCGCTGTCTCGACGCTGTCGATCATCAAATCTAAGAAACCGCATCAGATATTTGAAGCGCTCCATTGACATTGTTGCATGATATACTGGGACGCTTCGGCTAATGTCCCACAATTCATCGGTGGATGCATGATTGGAATGACGAACACCACTTTCGATCAGCAGCCCAATCAATGCTTCCAACTCGACACGATCGAGATCTATCCATCGAATTTGAGTCGTTCGATAAGAAGTAGCATTGGAACGTCTTTGATTTACTTGATCAATATGCCTTTTGGCATATTTGTTTGTTTGAAGAACAATTTCATCTAAGATATCATCAGTAATGAAGAGTTTGAACGCATCGATAATTGTTTCTACTGAAGTAGCTTCACCCGGTTTCTTTTTTAGTATATTTATTTTTTGAAGACGACCGTGGACTGACTTCGATTCTGTTGTCCAAACAATACCACCTTTCTCCACCGATTCAGGCTGGCCAGTGGGATGAACAGTTTCATCGTCATCGCCATCATTGCTGGTGGACGGAGATGAATCATCTTCGTTCGAGATGAGTTCGTCAGTGGATGTGTCGTCGGATTCTGTTTCAGCAGGTGAAAAGCTTCGATCGGACTTCGAATCATCATCTTTGGAGATGATACTGTCGAGATCAGTGCTGCTGTCGATTGGTGAGATTTCACGAGTTCGCTTCCGACTCGTGCCGGCTATGATCGTTCTCATCTAAAAAATTGATATAGTGTCAGCCTCTCCTAAAGAAGATGTCTCCATGTCCAGCATTCATAAGTAACCAAAAACGAAGATGAAATATATCTTGTAGTCGCCGGGCATTTTCAACGAGTTTTTGTCGATAGATACATGCGATGAACACGACATGAAGACTGGTACATTCATTGGAAGCAACAGAATAACGTATCGTATCGAAAGGAACTTGCAAAACATAGAGGGCAGCTTAAACAAGAGCGGAAACTACCGATAAAACACGAGTGCTGTATTGAGGTCCAGCTGGACCCACCGCCTAACTTTTACCCAACAAAGGCTATGGAAGACGTTTCATGTGGAACCTATCCACCGTCGATAGACTAGCAATTAGAAAAAAGATCGGCCCAAACAGTAGAGCTATTGATATAGAAACAAGTAAAATAAGTGCAGTGACCGCTGCTGGACCCACAAAAAGCGTCCTAGGGTTAAGAGAAGAACATCATTCATGGATATGTTTTGTAAATGTAGTGTGCGTAATTCTGGCAGATCTGCTTGAGATGGACGGAGATCGTTTGGACACAATGTGAAACTCGGTGATATTTTTCGGTGAATTGGCCAATCGAACAGATAACCAACTTTATCTTCTAATGTGATATGTAAATCTTGAACACGCGGTAAAGCGTCAGATTGAACTAACAATGCCAATTCAAATATATGTTGCAATGAGAGACGTAAACGAATAGTGCGAGGAAATATCGACCAATGATTAAGACGGGTGCACAACGTGTTCAAATCGAAATCAGGATTATAGAAGCTCTGAATCTCTGAAAAAGAAGAAGCATCTATCAATCAATCGATGTATTCTGTTGAATTACCATTCTCAATGATCAATTCCATTGTATGCAAAGAGATACGATGTGTAACAAGCTGCGATAGCACAGCACCGTAATTGGTATGTGGTAGATTGAAGACAAGTACAAGACGACGCAAAGACGATGCACTTAGAAGAATCAATGAAGTAATATTCGACAGAACATATTGACTAGTGAAATCAGTGAAGACAATCAATTGGCGAAGGTGTGGCAAAAACGAGGATCCTGATTTCAACCATCGTGAAGTCAGTTCACATGAAATCACCCATTCATCGAAGACAAGCGACTTTATCCGATGAGCCATTCGCGAATGTTGGTGCTCAAAATAATCGAAACATTCACCGTAGGTCGTCACTGTGTTAGATGAGATTTCGAAGGCAACACGATTCAATGCTTCACGAGCTAATGCTATGATGCGCCCATTCAGTTGCCACTGAATCCAAGTGGATTTGAGTTGAAAACAAGTGAAAAAGGTGAAAAGTTCGACCCATAACTCATTGGGCAAATCTTCCAAACAGGTAGTGCGTCTTTCATCGATTCTGTTCATTGAAAATGAGCGAACCATAGTCATTATTATCAGATATATAGCGCGAAGAAAACAATGCTCGTCCGTTCAGAGTTAATACTGAACATAACCGCCGGCTGAATTTTTCTCAACCTTGATACGCGTGTATTATCATTTTTCCACGCACAGAGCGTTTGTCTACCACTGAAGCATAAATCTGTCTTCTTCTTCTTCAACGACTCACTCAAGCAAATGAATCACGAAGACTAGAATTGGATTCTTTCAGTTAAGTTTACACAATGTCCGATTGGTATGTCAATTTATTCTATACATTGGCAACGATGTGCTGAACTGACCTATTAATTAATTTATCATTATATTTTGGTTGTATTATTTCAGAGTCTTCCAAGAGGAAAACAGCACAGTTTGACGCTCCGAGAGTGTATAGAGAGGGTGAGATTGATCAGAATTCTGAGGAAATTCGCTTTGATTATAATCCGATCCACTTGTTGGTTCGATTCTATAGTGCCCTTTGCCTTTCTTTAGTTGTATCACTATGTTTTAACACATGGTTTTCATCTAAAAGGTTGGCATATGTATTGAAAACTTGATATGCGTCAATATCGCTACGGATATTTTTTTATGCTGGATATTCACAGCGAAGTATAAGATATACCTAATTGTATCAATGGAGTGTGTACAGCACCAAACACATGCAGATTGGAATTTGGTTGATCATTCATCACCATTCGACAGTGACTTGTATAACTGGATGGACGGGTAAGATGTGCAACATTAGTAAACAAGATGAATCAAATGAAAATTCTTTCTTATGTTTACTCTGTGAGTATCTGTTCACCTCTATCAAAACAATGGCATCTGATAAGTTTGCTTTCATTCTCGAAAATCAATGCTCGATTCAGGTGAATATGATTGTATCGACGTGTTATCTTCTTCGACATCATCAAAATATTATGTTCATAAACCACTTCTAATCGATTGTGATGATCGTTTATGTCCGAATTCGTACTACCCATGTGGAGATGGACAATGTATCCGTATGTTGATTCGTCGTATCTATCATTCGTATATGTCGCGAGCATTAAATTGTTACAGTATAAGAGAATATAGTGGAATATGTGAAACAGCTGTTCCAAACATCATTGTGGACAAAATATGATGGTCTTTGCGCAAAATTTGGTTATCTCGATACGATGTGCTCTGTCGAAAGGTGCTCATATTCGATACCCATACAATCGTGCAAATTGTGGAGGAAATGTCGCTTTTTATCCACTCCGCGGTATCATTCGTCCATGGCTGTTGAATATGTATTTAATTGGAAGAATATCGGATAAAAAAAGCATTTATAATGTTCCGAAAGTAGAATAGAGAACAAAGTGCGCTAGATAAAGCGCAGATATTTCGTACACTGCTATATATGCCGCATTTAGTCTTTCGAAATACTGTATATTTGTTTGGAAAACTTACAGGTGGAAAAAGGTGAAGTTGAATGAACAAATACTGTACAACTATGAAAGATGATCTGTTGTAGTTAGAAGGGGAAAAATATGAACTAAACTGGTTTCTATTACGAGAAAGGAGTTGGATTTAAAGCGTCAAAATGACAAAATATTACAATGGTTCTAAAGTTTAGTTCACTTCGCACATTTCAATGTTATCTCAAACATATGAATGTATTTTCAATAGCAAAAGACAAACGATTCCACGGTGATGCATAAAACATAACGAAAAGTACTTGAAAAGAAAGATAATTATGAATGTCATTTCAAGCAGTAGCGTTGACATGGCTGTCTTTCGGTGAACAGATGTAAAACGCTAACTAAAATGTACATAGGAACACTACCAATTACTGATCCTAATTCAACAGTTAGTCCAAAGTAAAACATTGCACTTTCTTGTAGCCATTCCCTTCGTATACGATTACCAATAGCTATCCGAATATAAGCTACTATTAATATCGTGATAAACCAAACACCAGTCATGATCAGACCTCCATGAAAGGTATCAGCCCACCAGGGACATGGACTTTGCCATGCAATTATTGCGATGAACACACAGAGACCAAAACCAATCGATGACCATAGAATGGTCGCTAAAGTCGACATAGTCACCCAACGAATGCTCACCAATGAAGCAACAGGATACGCCAATGGATTCAAAATACTCGAATAGTAAAAAGCTTTTTGACCATATGGTAACATTGAATACGTGCTCAATGATGGCAAGCATCCGTATATAAATGCAGACATTATTGTATTCAACGTCAATTGGAAAAGATACGATTTATAACTCATTTGAGAAGAAGAAGATGATGATGAGCATTTTTCTAGTTTCGTCTCGGGGATCATCGCCATAGATTCAGCTCGATCAATAACTTCAGCGGGTTGATTCGAATCTGGACTTTGCTAAAAGTTGAATATATTCAAGCTATGCAATTTTCGCTCTAGGTTTTGTTGTACTTTACTCACAATTGAAAAATTAAGAGAAGTTGACAAAATAATTCCTTTATTTTCTCAATAAATATCTGAGAATTATTGAGAACACTTACCGGATTTGCAGCATCAGCCAATAAAACAAGATTAGACCATCTGAGTAGAACAAAAGCAAGGAGTGACAACATCAGAATACCTCCAATACAAAACATGAAAATTTTCACACTGAAACGTGGCTGAGTATATTGTGCTGTAAAACCAGTGCCGTTAACGATTGGAATACAAACTTCTTCGCTACCTAAGCCTTGTGCTAACACTAATAGAGTAGGAATCAGGCCCGTCAAGCCCTCACCGAGAAAAACAGCAGTTAAATATGATGCGCGAAATCGTTTCATATAATCGAAGTATACGAGTGATGAAGTACAATCAACCGTTGACAATGTTAAAACGCCTCCTAGTAACCATATACTTCTTTGACTGCCGAATATAAAAGCTGTTCGTTGCCAGAAAAATGCTAATACACAACATGAAATAATGCCAACGATGATGATTATGTAGATGAACGGAATTTCCGAAAATCGTTTTCCTTGATAACAGCGTAATATAAGGACCAAAATTGGAGCGATACCAGCTACTGTCGCACATATTGTCATTGATGATGGTAGTGCCCAACCTTCTGGCAAAAGTGGAATTATTAATGGTAATTCTACCATTATTCCTTGAATATCGATCCATGAGCTCAAATTCATAATAACTATTAATATGAAACATGTGACTTGAGCCCATCGCGAAGCCATTTCTAAATTGAATTAAATGAAAGATTTTAGAAAAATCAGAATGCTAACATGGGATTTCGTTTGCGGTATTAAATGTTATAATACGAAAAAGAGTTAGAAACAAATATTTAGGTTTCAGAATTGGAAAATACTCATCCAGTGAAAGATACGATCGAATTTTAAAATAAACAAAAATTTACGATGTTCTTAATTAGAAAATATTAATTATATATTTCCTTTTTTGTCAAAAAAGGTTTGGTACGAATAACTCGAATCTTTTTGATAAAGAAAAAGTACGTTTAATTGTATGATATCTATCTTTTGCGTTTCTTCGTATATATACGAGCATCAGCATATATTCGTGCGAATATATATCGATTATAACACTCGACTTCAATTTTCTCATATCAAGGTGTACTTATAGCTATAAAACAATGCGTCAGATCGTGTTACCATGTGTAGATATTTGCTTACTCCATAAAAGACAACAATCGAAATTTTGATCCCATGAAATATGTTCTGTATAGAGCAACTATTTTATATCTTATAGACATGGAAGATTCTTCTTTTCAAAAATATCTATAGTAATTCTACACAAGTAACAAAGCATATTTGTATTTGCAAAATCGAAAACAGTGTGATGTAGATAATGATAACACTTCGATTCTTGTTCTTCGAAACTTTATACTTTATTATCAGAATATATGACAAGATCGGACGATAAATCCATCGACAAGAGATTATCAGAATTTACCGTTTCGTGTGACATAGAATTGCGAGATAAACCGTGTAACTATACTGATGACTTTTATTTAGTTTTTTTCCCTTCCAAATCTATGCGTAAAGTAAAGATTTTCAAATTTTTATTATTATTGTTTTGGAGAAAAAGGTGCACTTTGCGAGATTAAAATGAGATACACATCGATCTAAGAAACTAAAACAACATTTAGTCGAGATTGTGAAAAGATTTAAATTCCAAAATGATGTTTATAATCATTCGAATTTGTGACATATTCAACAAATTTCTCTTTGGAAACACTAAAAAGGAGAATAAANCATAAAACATAACGAAAAGTACTTGAAAAGAAAGATAATTATGAATGTCATTTCAAGCAGTAGCGTTGACATGGCTGTCTTTCGGTGAACAGATGTAAAACGCTAACTAAAATGTACATAGGAACACTACCAATTACTGATCCTAATTCAACAGTTAGTCCAAAGTAAAACATTGCACTTTCTTGTAGCCATTCCCTTCGTATACGATTACCAATAGCTATTCGAATATAAGCTACTATTAATATAGTAATAAACCAAACAGCAGTCATGATCAAACCCCCGTGAAGAGTGTCTGCCCACCAGGGACATGGACTTTGCCATGCAATTATTGCGATAAAAATACAAAGACCAAAACCGATTACGGACCAAAGAATGGTTGTTAAAGTCGACATAGTCACCCAACGAATGCTCAACAATGAAGCAACAGGATATGCCAATGGATTCAAAATACTCGAATAGTAAAAAGCTTTTTGACCGTAAGGTAACATTGAATACGTGCTCAATGATGGCAAGCATCCATATATAAATGCAGACATAATTGTATTCAACGTCAATTGGAAAAGATACGATTTATAACTCATTTGAGAAGAAGAAGATGATGATGATGATGAGCGTTTTTCTATTTTCGTCTCGGGGATCATCGCCATAGATTCAGCTCGATCAATAACTTCAGCGGGTTGATTCGAATCTGGGCTTTGCTAAAAGTTGAATATATTCAAGCTATGCAATTTTCGATCTAGATTTTGTTGTACGTTACTCAAAATTGAAAAATTAAGAGAAATTGGCAAAATAATTCCTTTATTTTCTCAATAAATATCTGAGAATTATTGAGAACACTTACCGGATTTGCAGCATCAGCCAGTAAAACAAGATTAGACCATCTGAGTAGAACAAAAGCAAGGAGTGACAACATCAGAATACCTCCAATACAAAACATGAAAACTTTCACACTGAAACGTGGCTGAGTATATTGTGCTGTAAAACCAGTGCCGTTAACGATTGGAATACAAACTTCTTCGCTACCTAAGCCTTGTGCTAACACTAATAGGGTAGGAATCAGGCCCGTCAAGCCCTCACCAAGGAAAACAGCAGTTAAATATGATGCGCGAAATCGTTTCATATAATCAAAGTATACGAGCGATGAAGTACAATCAACCGTTGACAATGTTAAAACGCCTCCTAGTAACCATATACTTCTTTGACTGCCGAATATAAAAGCTGTTCGTTGCCAGAAAAATGCTAATACACAACATGAAATAANTGATGCGCGAAATCGTTTCATATAATCAAAGTATACGAGCGATGAAGTACAATCAACCGTTGACAATGTTAAAACGCCTCCTAGTAACCATATACTTCTTTGACTGCCGAATATAAAAGCTGTTCGTTGCCAGAAAAATGCTAATACACAACATGAAATAATGCCAACGATGATGATTATGTAGATGAACGGAATTTCCGAAAATCGTTTTCCTTGATACCAGCGTAATATAAGGACCAAAATCGGAGCGATACCAGCTACTGTCGCACATATTGTCATTGATGATGGTAATGCCCAGCCTTCTGGCAAAAGTGGAATTATTAATGGTAATTCTACCATTATTCCTTGAATATCGATCCATGAGCTCAAGTTCATAATAACGATTAATATGAAACATGTGACTTGAGCCCATCGCGAAGCCATTTCTAAATTAAATTAAATTAAATTAAAGATTTTAGAAAAATCAGAATGCTAACATGGGATTTCGTTTACGATGTTAAATATTATAATACGAAAAAGAGTTAGAAACAAATATTTAGGTTTCAGAATTGAAAAATACTCATCCAGTGAAAGATACAATCGAATTTTAAAATAAACAAAATTTTTTACGATGTTCTTAATTAGAAAATATTAATTATATATTTCCTTTTTTGTCAAAAAAGGTTTGGTACAAATTACTCGAATCTTTTTGATAAAGAAAAAGTACGTTTAATTGTATGATATCTATCTTTTGCGTTTCTTCGTATATATACGAGCATCAACATATATTCGTGTGAATATATATCGATTATAACACTCGACTTCAATTTTCTCCTATCAAGGTGCACTTATAGCTATAAAGTAATGCGTCAGATCGTGTTACCATGTGTAGATATTTGCTTACTCCATAAAAGACAACAATCGAAATTTTAATCCCATGAAATATGTTCTGTATAGAGCAACTATTGTATATCTTATAGACATGGAAGATTCTTCTTTTCAAAAATATCTATAGTAATTCTACACAAGTAACAAAGCATATTTGTATTTGCAAAATCGAAAACAGCGTGATGTAGATAATGATAACACTTCGAGTCTTGCTCTTCGAAACTTTATATTTTATTATCAGAATATATGACAAGATCGGACGATAAATCCATCGGCAAGAGATTATCAGAATTTACCGTTTCGTATGACATAGAATTGCGAGATAAACCGTGTAACTATACTGATGACTTTTATTTAGTTTTTTTCCCTTCCAAATCTATGCGTAAAGTAAAGATTTTCAAATTTTTATTATTATTTTTTGAGAAAAAGGAACACTTTGCGAGATTAAAAAGAAATACACATCGATCTAAGAAACTAAAACAACATTTAGTTGAGATTGTGATGAAAAGATTTAAATTCCGAAATGATGTTTATAATCATTCGAGTTAGTGACATACTCAACAAATTTCTCTTTTGAAACACTAAAAATCAAAATAATTCTCCAATGGAAAAGAAAAGAAAATTTCTTTTACCGTCCAGTTCCATCATCGAGTTTCTTCCAATGATCATCCCACGTTGTTGTTCCTGCTGGATTATTTGTTGATGATTTATTCCAATTTGACAGACTAAAAAACGCGAATCTTCAAAGAAAAACAAGAATAAAATCGGATACTTTTGAAAATTATTAAGACGATTCAAAATCTGTTGACCATGTTCACGTGTTATATAACCTTTAAAGAAAGAAAAGATAAGAACAGTAGAAGATAAGTGGGACGAACCAGGTGCAGTGTCATCGTATTGATCTAAAATGTAATTAAACTTCTCTTTTCTTGTTGTTCCATTTGGATTTGTTCCCGCATAATGATTCAACATCAGATAAACTTCCGCAAATTCTTCAAAACTCAGTTTTCCTTTTTGAAAAGAAAAAGAAAAGTAAAGAATGAAAAGTCTTCTCCTTCTTACCTGATCCATCGAAATCATAAGTTTCAAAAACATGATCAGACATTTTGTCTAAATCATGATCGGATAGAAACGGTGCAACATTATTTCCATGTTGAGAACTTAAATACATTTCTTTATATAATTGACGAAATTCTTTTTTATCCATTTTATTATTTTTCAATGTCACTTCTTGAAAATCTTTATAAATCTTCTCCACTGTTGGTAATGGAACACCTAAACAGAGATTTTCATTTGAAAACAATCGAAAATATCGTGCAAATCGTCACCTGTCATGTTACTGTATTGTATTAAATCCCATTCAGTGAACGGCTTTTTTGAGCTGCTTCCACCCATTATGGAAAATTTGACAAGAAGAGAATCGTTACGATGTGTGAAAGGCAAGTGATGAGGAGGATGAACTCGATGGATTCTTTAACGTTCTTTTCTTATTGGTTCAGATTTACAGAAAGAAGAAGAAAAAAAGGAAGAAGATCGACGAGTTTTCTCGAGAAGATTCCTTTTTCTTTTTCCTCACAAAGTGAGAAGGAAAGAAAGGAGAGGAGAAGTCAGCGTTGACCTTTCCGAGAATAATCTCATTCGACTCTTTTAACTAAATAAACTTTCTATTTATGGCAAAAATAAATGATCATCAAATTAAACTCCTAAAAAATGAATTTTCTATTTGAAAATAAAGAAATTTGATAAGACAAGTGACGTTTTTCTTCAAGATAAGACAAAAGAATATAAATTAACAAAAAAGAAACTTTGAGTTCTTTTTTGTTTAACAACAAAACAATGCTTTCATCAAATGAAACGAGTAGTTGTATAAACACAGGAGATACAACATGGGTTTTAATATCATCAATCTTAGTTCTATCAATGATGCCAGCTTTAGCGTTTTTTGAAGGTTTTTCTTGTTTTTATTTGATTTCAAAATGAAAACATCCGTTAATTTCTTTAGCTGGTTTATTAAAAAGCATCAACACAGTTTCATTAGTCACTCAAATCATTGGTGGAACATCAATTTTGTCCGTAATGTGGCATTTAATTGGTTATACATTAGTTTTTGGACATACATATGCAGGTGTGATTGGAAGTTTTAGTAATATTTTAATGTTAGATGTTCCATATGATGATTGTAGTCGACATTCGCCAAATATTCCTGCTGCTTTATTTGGATTTTTCGAAATGATGTTTGCGGCTATTTCACCTTTGTTGATTACAGGTGCATTTGCTGAAAGACTTTGTTATAAAGCATTTATTCTATTTATTATTGGTTGGGAATTGTTTATTTATTATCCAGTTGCACATTGGATTTGGGGAGATGGATGGTTAAATAAAAATTTTGAAGTTCAAGTAAATCTTTTTTTCTCTTCAAATTCAAATATTTTGTTTTTTCTTGAATTAAAAAATAAAAGGATTTTGCAGGTGGAATAGTCATTCATACAACATCAGGTGTTTCGGCATTGATTTGTGGAGTTATTTTAGGACAACGAAAAGATTTCGATAAATACAATGGTGAATTTCCTCCATCAAATTTACCTTTAGCTGCACTTGGCGGTGCTTTATTATGGACATCTTGGTTTGGATTTAATGCGGGTAGTGCTCTTCAAAGTGGTGCTTTGGCTGTTTCAACTGTTGTTACAACACAACGAGCTGCAGTGACAAGTGGTGTCGTTTGGCTCATTATTTCATGGATAAGACATAAACCATCAGCTACAGCTGTTCTTAATGGTGTTATTGCCGGTTTAGCGGGTATTACACCTGCATCGGGATATATTGATCCACAATATGGAGCTGTTATTGGAGTTATCTTAGGTTTCGCTTCATATCTGAGTATTTTTCTTTTCAAACATAAATTACGTATTGATGATGCATTAGGTAAAACAAAGAATTTTCTCTTCAAAGAACGTTTTCCGAAATGAATATTTAGATGTTTCAAGTGTTCATGGTATAACAGGAATTGTTGGTTCATTGGCAATTGGATTTTTTGGCCAAAAATCCTTTAATGAAGATGGACGTGATGGATTATTTTTTGGTTCTCATAGTCCTTATTTACTTGGTGTACAAGCAATGGCTGTTGTTGTTACAGGTTCATGGTCAGCTATTATTACAATTATTTTATTAAAATTAATTGATAAATCAGTTGGATTAAAAGTTTCATTTGATGATGAAATCGGTTTAGATGAAGGAGAACATGGTGAACAAGCGTATGAATGGAGAAATTCAATTATTGAACCACAAATAACTGAACAACAAATTCATTCTATTATTCGTGGTTCTGTTTCACATCACATTCAACAAGAACAAAGAAGATTATCATTGATTGCACCGCCAACGATGACAAATCCTTCGTTAAATCGAAGAATTAATGTTGTTCATCAAACTTCAAAATTAGAAGAAACTTTATAGAAATATTTTTTGTGTATTATGAACAAATCTAAAGTTTGGAAGCTTTGGTTCTTTTTTTTGACAATATTCCACGGAGAAAATCTTTTTTTGAGAATCATCACAATTTCTGTTCGTGGAAATGTTTTCATTTGGGTTTCGATAAAATGATAAAAACAGCAGCGACAATTCGAATCAAAGTTCCAATAATAAATATGAAATAATTTCGTTTTCCTCGGATATCTTTGATATATAAAATGGACCAAAGTGTTGCAATTGTTCCAGGTCCAATTGAAATTAATGGAAATGAAATAGCTTGACTTAAAACGCTATTTGCTAAAATAAATCCCGATTGGGCAATTCCCCACATAATTCCTGACAGAAATGCAGGAAAAATACTTTCGATGGAAATATAAGGACGATTTCTTTTACAAATGATATAAATCATAAAATAAATTAAGGAGGAAAATAAAATTCCTGTATACATTGAAAAGATATAATGAAGACCATTTTTAGTTGATTGAGGATATTTTTCATGATGATCTTGAATATATGTTGAAGGAGTAAAGACTAAACCAAATAGAACTCCACTTAAAATGGCTAAGAAACAACCCAAAATACGCATTTGAGTTCTTTTTGTGAAAATTTTCTTTTCATTTGTTGAATTAATCAATCCTGTCGATAAACTTTCATTTTCTTCCAGATTTTCTTTATTTTGATTACTACGAATTCCAAGAAATATTAATCCACTAATAACAGCAATAGCAACACCAAGATAATTATAAATTGGATATTGAACTTCTTCAGCTTTTAATCCAAACCACCCGAAATGTCCACTTGCCCATCCAATAAATAGATTAGATGTACACCATAATAACATTGATAAACCAAGACCATTTATTGGAATAACAAACATTGATAGAACATTACCTGATGTCCATAAGACACCTCCGGCGATTACCAATGGATAAAAAGGAGGATTTCCAACAATTAAATTGACAATCACCCCTGTTAACCAGATTCCACAACATAAAAAGAATTGAAATGAAACTCCATCTCCAATTGGATATTTAGCGGCTGGAACAAAGTTTGATCCGAAAAAGAGAACAGAAATGACAACAGCTAAATAACCAGCCCAGATTGGATATGGTTGTATGGGAGGAGCAATGGTAGTAGTGATATTTTCATTTAGAAAAATATCCATTAATTTCAATTCTTTATTTTTCTACTTAAAATAAAATAAAAGAAAGGGAAGAAATAGAATCCATCCTTTTACATCTTCTTTCTTCTGATAAGATAAAAAAAAAAGATCAAAAAGGATTGAAATATTTTTTATCATATTTTATCACTGAAAGTTGTTATATCATATGTACCTTTTATTCGCCCAACTAAAATAAAAAGTATTAGTGCGAAGAAAAATCTGAGAAATCTGTTGATCTATCGTAGTTTAAAGGCCACAATAGAAATGAACAAATAAAACTCCGTGGTGTCTTTAATCCTCTGTACTACAACAACGAACAATTGTAAGTTCTACTCATTCACATACAATTTGAATCTGAGACTCTTTTGACTGAGATCAAACTTTGATTTGGATGATTTTTTAAATTAGTTTACTGATTCAAACTACTTATATTCAAAACATCTGAATAAATATTGAAATGTTGTAATATTGATTGATCAACAACAAAAAATGAAAATTATTGAAACAAAAAAGAGAGGAATAAGCTTATTCATCTATTATTTATTCAAAATTTATTAAGCGAAAGCGTTATATTGAAGAATAAATTTTTCGATTATTTATTATTCATCACATTCTTGACTTAAAAAAAACATTATTTTTTTACATTTATTTCTCTATTTCATAGAATATGATCTTGACAGTATGAATAATATACTTAATTATCAATCCAATTATCATCCTCATTCTTAGTATTTTTTGGCAAATTGTCACAATTTTATATAGTTTCACATAACCGAGTATTTTCTGTAAATATAAAAAATCAATATGACGTTCTTTTGATTAAATTGAAAAATATTGTTTCTCTAATTAAACTTATGTTCTATTAGCAGAACTATGTTTAACAGGTATTACAATAACAAATAGATGATAAAGTGTAAGTGCACTAAACTAATGTCATATTCACAGATTTTGAAATGATGAAAATAATCATAATGAACTTATTTCTCTTTATTTTAATAATACGTAAATCCTCAATCTGTGCACAACTCAATCTTTATGATATTGATCGAATAAATAACAGAAATGAATATGATTCTTTATATTATTATTATATACCGAATGAAAGTATTGATACTTAATTGGATATTTCAATAAGACAAATTCTTAAATATTGTCTTCGTTAAATAAATGAAAAATCATCGAATTTTGTAAGTATAAATTTAATTTGTTATGATCTTTGAGAATGTGATCGTGATGGAAATGAATGTGAAGAAGATGTATATCCATGTCATAATGTTTTTTGTATTCCAAAAGATTTTTCGAAAAATAATCTAAATAATTGTGATTGTCTTTTAAAAATCCATCATTTGGATATGAAGAACATAATTGTAGAGACCATAAATGAAGAAGATTTCCCATATGATAAGAATTATGGTCTAATAGATAATATGGTAATGCAGGATCATCTTTGTATTTTATTCATAAGAATAATTTAGGAATTGGAATGAATCTACTTGAATTATCTGTATACTTATTATGGTTCTGGTTAACGAATTGGAAGGATCATATTCTTGATATCGTATGTTATTACCAGATATAATGTATTACGATCATTTATTTTTTTTATTCTCAAGTTTTTATCAGAATAATATAACTTGTCAATATCGACACCAATTTGATTTAACTAAAGCAAATGATTATCAAGAATTTACAATACTTCTTAAAATGTTTCTTTTTCTGTAGTTGTCAAAGCATTCTATAACATTAAATATAATGATCGCACTCAGTTAAATTCATCTGTTTATTATTGACAAAATGTAATTGAAAACATCGTTTACTTTTGTTATTTAAATGATGATGATTTATATTAATGATTTAGATTTTCAAGAGTTTTCTGAACGGTATTAATAATTGATTTAATGGAACAGATAAAACTGAAGGTAATTATATTTCTACGAGATATGATCGTGTTCAAATGGTGAAGACGAACAAAATAATTTTCATATTCAAATGTCTTTCAAATTGATATCGTTGTATCAGAAATACTGGAAGAAACTCATTTCCCATAGTTTTCTGTTGAGAAAATAAACGATGAAAACATTGATTGTCTTGGTACATTAGATAAATTTGATTATTGTCGAAGAACGAAATAAAATAAAATAGAATTAATGAAGTTATTTTGATTGCTCAAATTGAGTTGTTCAGATAATAATAATGAAAAATTGAAAATCTTTATTTGAAAAGTTAATGAAATACATTTAGATATTGAACAAAATGATTTAAACAACGATTAGAAAATCTTTTAAAAAGTCACAATTATGTCATATCGTGGAATTTATATTGAAATTCGAAATAATTCTTATGTAATGTTTTTGTTCATTTGGTTACAATATGAATATGAAAATGAACAAATTAGTTTAATATTACGAATTTTTCCAATTAGATCGTCATACTATTTATGAAATTAATTGATGAAAATGATTTCAGAAATTTATATGAACAATTTACTTTTATATCAAATAGAAGTTGCGTGTAAAGTTAGATTTATCTTTTATATTTAACAAATTCAAAAGCTTTAATAAAAACAACTAATAGTTAACATATTTTTCTAAAGAAACTTGAAATTATCAAAGAAGTTGTTTGTTACACTTGTTAATGAAATTGTTTCATAATTCCATTTGCCTATTCAACAATCAATTTTTGATTCGCTTTAGAATTGAAAATGTTTAAACGATGATCGATGTCTTAAATATGAAAATACAAATTATTTTTTTGTTTGTCAATGTCTTTCAAATTGATCAGAACATCAATATGAAAGATTTTGTTTGTATTAAATCATTTTAAAATCGATCAATATGGATTTGTCCTGATTTTGATTTTGGTTTATATAATATATCAATTCTATTCCTTCTTTAATGTTATTATGTATGAAATCATCACAAAATCTATACTTATTTCATCAATATATCTTTTTATTGTTTTTATTTGACAGTCAAAACTTGGAAATCAACGAACTCTATTTAACTGAAAAAAAGTTTTTTCATGNAAATGGCGATGGAGAAATAGGTCCATGTGAATCAGGAAATAATATAACAAATCCAACTGGATGGTTTTCTAATGGAACAATAACACAAGTTTATTACAACAATACATTTGCTGATCAATATTTCACAGATCCAGGACCAAAGTAAGTGAAAAAAATAGGTTTTTTATCTTAAAAGATTTTTGTTTTTTTTTTAAGTGACCGTGGCCAGTGTTATTTTTATGGTCAACAACCCTTTTCAACAACTTCTATGTGGCAGTATGTGAACATAACAGATTCAATTGATCCAAGTCTAATCGATAATCAAACAATTTCATATAATTTTTCCGCCTGGATTGGTGGTTATGGAAGTCAAGCTGATTATGCCCAAGTTTCACTAACATTCCTCGATCAAAATAATCAAAAGATTGGTAGTATAATTATCTTAGGTCCAGTATCAAATGTCCAACGATCAAATCTCACTTCATTACTTTATCGACAAATCCATGGATTAGTTCCAAGCGGTTCTCGTTCTTGTCTTGTTTTAGTGACAATTACTCGTGTTTATGGACCAACAGCAGATGGAGATATTGACAATATTTCTCTCAACTTTTCTTAACTCACTTTCCTCGTTACTGAATATTTTTTTCTCAAAATCTGAGAATTTATTTTGACTAAACCAAAGCGCATAAAAAAGATCATCATGAATGTCATTCACATATGAATCATTGATTTTCATTTCCAAGAAAAGATTATATTTCAAGGGTGGAAGTGCAAATGAATAGAATTTATGTGAACGAGTGTGACCTATACAGCCGTAGGTGAAACTATTTCAAATCATCTCTGTATACGTTAATGTTAACAAAGCTTTTGTTAAAATCTATGTGCTTCGCGTGAACCGAGTCGAAATGTCAACAATATGTTAATAATAATAATAGATTTAAAACATCTTAGTATTATAGTAGACTGACGAGATGAGCGTATTACTCGAACCAATCAGTGTATTCTTTATCATTGATCTACAAGATAACTTCTGAGCGGGCAATCTGATTGTGATGAAACTTTCAATAGCGTGTTATTACATCGGAATCTCGTTGAAATTCGAAGATGATACTGATTGGACGAGTGAGTCGTGAATTAATGAAAAACTGTCGCTACTTCTGTATGGCTTCTTATGTCTTGCAGCTGATGCACTTTTTGTAGCACACTTAGCTTTTGGATAAAATCCGAAGTTTCTGCACTTATTAATATTTACAGGCACATGATCTCTGATGTTATTGTTAGCGATATAACTTTAACGATGATTATCAATTTTTGAAAAAAGAAATCCTTTCGACAAAATAAGAGNTATCCGATTCATCGAACGATCAGCAACGTACATGAATGTCTCTGTTGAGTCAAAGGCAAAGTCGCGAGGATAAAGCAACAGATCCGAGCTACCATTACCTGTTACACCCTGACCTGCAATAGTTACCCCTTCCGTTTTTCCATTAACGAACTTTTGTATGCGATGATTGTTAGTATCTACTACATATATATCTCCATATCGATTAACATAAACATCTTCAGGATAATTCAGTTGAGAAATACTGTGCCCTTCTAATTCATAAAGTCCAGCGATATCGATTGCATTAGCATCATTCTTTGATAGCTTCCAAACATAAGCCTTGGTGTTGTCCACACCATATAAAGTGTCATTGGAATCAATAAATAGACGTGAACATGATAATTTCGGCGATGAGTTGATACCTACAGTGATCCCTGTTGTATTCCAACGCAAATCACCGGATGAACCTAACATAGAAAATAAATTATAGAACAATAATTTAATGTACTCCTTATTATACATTATGAGGGATTTATAATATAAAAGTACAAGTGAATTTAAATCTACATGCCATATTTATAATGTATATTACTTACATGGGCCTTTTTTTGTTGTCGTTGTTGACGTTGTTGTCGTTGTTGACGTTGTTGTCGTTGTTGACGTTGTTGTCGTTGTTGACGTTGTTGTCGTTGTTGACGTTGTTGTCGTTGTTGACGTTGTTGACGTTGTTGTCGTTGTTGTCGTTGTTATCGTTGTTGACGGTTCTGCTGGTTTTGTTACTAATGGCTCCATCGTGATGTTACCGATTGTTAAGGTTGTTTTCTCGACATTTCTGTTTTTAAATACAATTATTAATGTTGCAGTTATAGCAGACGCAATTATCAAGATAAAAAGTGGTAGTAGAATTTTTTTCTTCGTATGTATACATCTAGAAAACGATCGGTAGTTTTCACTAATACTTCAAAGTTGACTATACACATACGATGTTTTTAATAAAACTGTTGACATTTCAGTTGATTCTTTGATTGGTAATGGAGACTAAAAAATAAACAGAAATAACAATGTATGTAGTTTCCACTCGTTGAATCGGCCATATTTACTTGATCTTCACCTTTCACTGCTACTGCATCGAAATTTGACATGTTTCTTTCCAACCAGTTTCTAAATGTGATATCTACAAAAAAAAAACAACTGTGGAGATAACATGAAATAGTATTCTGATTTATTTCATGAGGAAGTTCTTTTTCTTTTATAGATAAGTTAACTGATAATACCACCTCTGTGTATATTCGTTGACTGGGGAGAAAATTTTCCATATATTGAAATCATTTGGACACCGTATGTTGTTCATAATACTTGCAAACGACTCTCGATGTAACTATTTGCTTTCTAAATACTTAGCGTCTGCACTAAACTGGTATCGCACGGAAGTAAATATATTTTTGTGCATGAAAAATAAATGTCAGGTTGTTGCTCAACAAAATAAGAAAAACAAATCTTTTACAATAAAAATCAATGATTACTAATTGAAATGATCATCCATAACTTTGAAGCAACTGTTGTACGACATTACCAATGACTCTGACAACTTCTGTTCTTTTTTGACAAGTCTCTATATTTTCGATCTTTTCGATTATAATTAAACGTTCTAGTTGTTTATTCTGACTAATTGTAACCAACTAGATTTTAATGATATTTGAACCATGTCATGGGCAAAATAAAGAACATGTATTTTTCATATGAGACAAATCTTCGTACTGCTATGCCATATCTACTTGATACCAACTCCGACGAGTGAGCTATTCGTATTGATTCTAGATACTTGTGGACGTTTAACAAGAGCACACAATGTTGAGAAGATCTTGATTAGGGTCCTTGAAATCTTTTATAAATTCGCAGGCTTTATTTGTATATTTAGAGATAAGCGTGAAAATATCAAAGAAAGATGGTTTGATATCATAATAGCTTCGATCAATGTAAACATAAAACTCTCGTGATAAGTTCAGAAACCTATATGACATTATGATCCACTTGATTGTCTTAAATATTATAAAGCACCATTCGGTTGAGTTCAATACAGTCTGAAAGTATTGGACCGATATGATGACGATCATTGGTTACATTCATTTCGATATCGAGAAAATTGATATAGAACTTTTCTCATGGAACGAGTCGTGTTCACCCTAAAGATTTCAATGGTTAGTGTTGCGGATCAAAAAAATATTCGATCGTCTGATATTTTGATCAAGGAGAAAGCATTGAATTATCTTCATTCTTTTCTTCAATTTATCTGAATCTTCTGTCGTTTGCACTTCGTATTTCATGCAAATAAATATCTCTACTTGGTATTCTTGTGTTGTTTTATTTTACAAAAAATGTTAATGGAAGTATGAACACAATTGATGAATTTTGTCATCAACTCAATAATTGTAATATTAAGCAATCATTTCTTATTAGAAGTCACAGACGGCAGTTTCAACTGATATATGATCAACTCTGAAATTATTCTATTCGTAATAGCAACAGCGACATCTGTTTAACAGAAAAAAATCTGTTGATATGGCAATGAATGTAATAATGAATTGAATTGATTTGAAAGAAAGTTTTCTTTTGTGAAAAATTCGAAATCATGTTCAAGAAAAATGAAATTTATTCCGACGAACTTTCAAGTAAATTTATAAGAAAAAGAGATTGATTTGTAAAATGAGAAATAAATTTAGATGAAAATGAAACAATTGAATTGATCAATCCATTAGGTGAAAATAAGAAATTTTCCACTGAAAGTCAATTTACTCTTGAAGAATTATTAATCAAATCTCGTCAATTAAATTCTTCAAAATCTTTTCGTTTAATTGATCAACAAATTGAAACTTTACCAAAAAGAATTTCTTCATCAATTGAAAGCGTGAATCTGTCTGCAAATTTATTGAATAAAAATGAGAAAATTCAATGGAAAGATTTATCAAAACAAATACAAGTAAAAACTTGTTGAATAAAATTCGTTTTTCTTCAATTTATTTTCAGCATTTGGAATTATCAGGAAATTTTCTTGATTCTCTTCAAGGAATCGAAACTCGATGTGATAAATTACAAAGTCTCGGCATTTCTTTCAATGAAATTTCTTCAATAAATCAAATATTTTTCAATGAAAAATGGTTTGAAAAGAAAAAGAAAATTCCTAAATGAAAAAAACATTTTCTTCATTTAGGTCAAATTTATATTCACTCGATTTAAGTTATAATTTATTAAATAATTTATCTGAAACCATTGAATCTTTATCAAATCTGAATCAATTACGAATTTTATATTTACATGGAAATCCATTTTCAGTTTGTATTTGCTTTTCTATGATGAATTTGCAAAATTGAATTTGTTTTTGCAAATTTTAGTTAATAGTTGATTATCGTTTATTCGTAATTGATTCTCTTCATAAATTACATGTTCTTGATGATATACCAATAACAACTGAAGAAAGATTTCGTGCCAGAACATTTTCCAATTGTAATTCTCATCCAAAAGATTATTCGAAATTGACAATAACAATTTCTAATTTAATGAATATTCCTCAACCACCTATTAATCAAGTTTGTTTGTTTTTCAAAAAAGAATCTTTTTTTGGAAATTTTGTTTGATTTGTAAAAGGATGAATGGCCTTTACAAGTTCATCGATTCAAATTTCGTTTTCAATGGTTTAATGACGAAGAAGAAGAAAAGAAAGAAATAAATGTTCCATTTGATAAATTTGCTGATTTTAATCGATTTCATTCATCATATTTGGAATTTCAACATTCAGATTATAAACCAACAATGGAATTTTCACCCAATTTTTTCAATTTAACGATTAAATCTCTCGTTCAATTTCGAGATTTTCTTTTTCACGGAACCAAATGTGAATTTATTCATCAATTAGTAAGAGATGTCCATGGAAATGTTCACTTCCTTTTCCTCTTTAGACAGAATATTGGCCACCTGGGGAACCAAATGATGATAAAGCATCGAAGAAGAAATCCAATCAAAATTCTGACAAAGTAAAATAAAGAAATTTTCCTTTGACAACAAAAAAGTAAAATTGAATAAATTTCAAAGAAAGTCGTTGAATCTCCACCAAAGAAAAAACGAAATGAAGATTTAAATAAATTAGTTATTCGAAAAGATCCGATTGAAACAATTTTAACAGAATTTCACGTTGAACTTCGTTCATTTCTCGATGGAGATCATCAAATTTTATTTCCTTATAAATGTTTTATTCAACAAAATCTTTATCCAATTATCGAAAAAGAAATTCTTCCAACAAAATCCAAAAAAGATTTGAAAAAAACTGATTCAATTAAAGAAAAAGCAAAAGAGAAAAGCAAAGGTAAACACATTTACATTGATTTGTGTCGAAAATCTTTTGATTTTAGATAAAATAATGAATATAAATGAAGAAAATCCTCAACCATTTCAATGTTCAATTCATTTTAAACTTTTTCGTTTTGTTTCCGACGAAGAATTAATTTGATTTTGATAAATAATGAGAAACATTTTCAATTAATCTCAATTCATCTTCACTTGCATTTTCTTCTAATGTAACAAACATATCCATTGATAAAATATCTTCATAATATCGAGGACGTTGATTTACATCATGACGAAGTCTGGGAAAAAGAAAATGAAATAATTTGAAAAAGAAAATCAAATGAAAAATTATCTTACAAACGAGAAATCAAATCTCTCAATTGTTCGTTTAAAATCAAAGGAATATCTGGTTGCCAACCATTTTTAATTAAAGACATAAATGAAAGAATTGGTTCAGATGATAAAGAAGGATAACCTTGACTTGTTTCCAACTAAAATTCCAATAGAAAATTGTTTGAATTTCAAATAAAAGAAATATTACGAGAGTCATTCCTAATGCCCACATATCTGATCGAGTTCCATATGGACAATTACTACCAAGACGTTCAGGCTTTGAAAGATCAAATGTAAAAGTTTCTTTTGAAAGGCAAATGTTAAAACTTACAGGTAAATATCGAATTGATCCAAGATGTGTTGAAGAAATGGAATCGTTTAAAACTCCACAAATTCCAAAATCACATAATTTAAAAATTGATTTTGATGATATTAAAATATTTTGTGGTTTCACATCACGATGAATTAAACTTTTCGATTTTAAATAATTCAATGCTGAAACAATCTTTTTGAAGAAAAAAAGAAAAACAAATCTTTTTTGATTTCGAAAAGAAAAGAAAAAAACCAACATGTTTTGTTAATCTTTTGATAAATTGATTTAATTGAAATTGTGTTGGAGGAAATTTGTGATGAAGAATTGGATAAAATAAATCTAAACTTGTTGGAAGATATTCCATTAAAAGAATTAATTGTCCATCATCAATTAATGCACCATAATATTTCACAATATATGAATTATCATCTTTACCAACTAATTTCATTGCTTTTAAATCACTTTGAGATGTAAAATATTCATAACCATCATATTCGAGATTTATTTTCTTTTTTTTTTCAAAATATTGTTTTTTGTTAAAAAGAAATTTGAAAGAAATTCTTTGACTTACTTTACAAGCAAATTGATAATTTGAATGATTTGCAATTTGAACTAAATAAACAAAACCAAATGTACCTTCGCCTAATTTGTCTAAATAATTTAAATCATTTGGATGAAATGAAATGATTTCATTGTTGATTTCAATTTGACAATGATCTTTTATATCTGATAATCTTCAAAAGAAAGATTCTTTTTCTTTGTTTTTCTTTGAAAATAATCGGAATTTACTCATATTTCTTTCGATGATTTTCTTCATTATCCCAATCTGGAATTTCACTTGTTAAATCTAAACACATTAATCGTACTAAAAGTGAAAGAAACAAATAACATTGTTAGTTCGAAGTGTTTTTCAAATGAATTACATTTTCTTTTTTTCGTATTTTTAGATGATCCATTCGATGTTAACGACATTTTGATAATGATTCGTTCGTTGTTTTTCTTTTTCGTTTCTCTTTTGTTTTTGTCTTCAATACACGTGTGTCAATAAACAAATAGAAAACGAGAGGAGGGAGGAGGAACTTTTCTTTTTCTTTCTTTTATTCGTTTTATATGACGAATATTATGAGAAGAGAAGAGAAAAAATTAATTAATCAATAAAAAAAAAGAGAGAGAAAGAAAAAAAATGTTCTATTCATTAATCTATGAAGATGTGACAAATAAAAAGAGAAGTGCGTTGAGATGAACATGAAAAGAAGATTGAAAAAAGTGAATAGAAAACTAATCAGTTCTTTTCATGTGTGGAAGAATTTCTTTATTGTAGGAAGATTAATTAGAAGAGAAAAAAAGAATTGCTCAATGTCAGAGATAAAAAGTAACTGGAAAAAGTCTATTTAAGGATATTAATTAAATTCGAACTCTTTTCTCCCAATGGAAAAAAGAATTTCTCACGGAAATCATTTTCTTCGTTTTTCATATAAAATCTCCAAATCAGAAAGAATTTCCTTTTCAGTTCATTTTTGAACATGTCTTTACCTTCATTTTGTCTTGATAAAGATTCAGTTTTAAAAGACCCTCCAAATGATACAAAATGGAGAAATGGAATTCCAAATTATACAAAAGCAAATCTTCTCTTTGACAAATATAAAACAACAGATCATCAATCTGGATCTTTACCACTTATTGTTCAAAATCTTGTCAAAAACTGGGAAAAAGGTTGGATTTAATTTCATTGAAGAGAAATGAATTTATCTTTGATTTGTTTTTAGAAGTTAGTCATAAAACTGATCCTCGTCAATGGACAACAGTTGATTTGGATAATTATCGTTTTTCTTGTAATGGTCAACAAAAATATAGTGGATGGGAAATGGTTAAACAAGGTACTTATAATGCTCTGATTGGTCAAACAAATTATTATGATTCAAATTTAATTTCATTTGATGAATCACATTTAGTTTTCAAAAGATCTTTAGGTGAAGGTTTTGCTTGGGAAGTTTTAGAAGTGTTTTCTGATTTACCAACAGTTACATTTACATGGAGACATTTTGGAAGAATGACAGATTATTTTTCATGTACGGGATTATCTGGTTTAACTTATAAAGCTGATCCAACAAATAAAATGGTGAAAATCTATGGAATGTGTAAAGCGACATTGAATGAAAATTATCAATTACAAGATTTACAAGTCTTTTATGATCCAAGTCAATTATTTATTCAATTAACAGAAATTTGTCCATATGCACCTTTCATGAAATTATCAAATCAAAATCAAAATACAAATTCAAATCAATTAAATAAAAAAACAAATCTTAATGAAAAAAATTTCGTTTCAAATGAAAAAAGTTTTACAAATCCTCATTCAAAATTATGTACAATCAGTTAATCTTTTTCTCTTTCTTTTTGTCTCATTCTAATCAAATTTAATAAAGCATTCTCCTAAATGAATTTCATCACACTTCAATGAACTGAATAGAAACTGATTAACAAAATCTTTTGTTCGCGTTTTTTTCCCTCAAAGTACCCGAAGAGTTCAGTACATTTACAAATGAATCACAAAAATCCACTCAAATCTCGACAAAAAAAACTGAATAAGATTAATCATTGTAATTCGAATTCTTATGAAAATAAAATAAAAGAAAAACATGTAAATCAAAGTGAAGATTATGATCTTCATTGAGAAGGAATTATTCTCTTCTCAATCTTTATATGTTCATTTGATTATCTTTATTAGAAATTTAGAGAAAAACATGTTCTTGGGAATTGTTCTGTAAACTAATTGACTCGAACGCACTTTAAAACGACATGAGTAACGCATTTTCCTCAACATAACCAATTTGAGTGAAAAATGTTCAAGTCATTTTAGTTGATGTGTCAATGAAAAATTGTAAAACAATTTCATTAGAGAAAATCGATGTCGTGTCAAGAAGAAATATTCATATCTATGACGTTTTTCAATTAGGAAATTCTTTTTCAAATACTCTTTCATTTACGAGAAAACATTTTAGAAGAAGAATTTTCTTTTTTAAAATATTAAATAAATGATTTGAAAAGAGAGCGACTTCCAACCAAGAAAAACAATTTCTTTGAAATCTTTTTTATTTGACAAAACCAAGTGAATTGTAATGGGAAAATTACAAAACTTGATATGGATACTGGAAATCTTTTATTTATTTTCATTAGTGAATTCAATTCGTATTGGACAAATATCAAATATTTCAATGATTGGAGATCTCGATGAATCATTGATAAATCGAACACGAAATGAATGTATTTGTGAAATGATTAATTCTAATGGATTGTTTTTCTCATTAAATTATTTTTCAACGAATCAATCTTGTCAATTATTTTCTTTGAATAATAATTCTCAAATGATATTTCAATTGGATATTCATTCCATATTTATTTTTATTAATCAATCTTTATTAAATAATTGTAAAAAATAATCTTTTTCTTTGTTTTTAAAATACTTTCAATTTGTTTCTTCTTCTTCTTAGATTCATTTATTGATCAAACATTAACAACGACTGATGAACAAACAACAACAGGTATTTTCTATTAGAAATCTTGACGTTAAAGTATCACATATCGAACTTTTCTTTTTAGAAATCATTCGATATCTTTCTCTACTTTTGAATAATTCTCAAATATTAAATATGGCAAATGTTTATACTTGTCAAATTCGTGGAACAAATGTAACAACAATCGATAATAGTACAGTGGATGATCTTTGTTCAATTGATTATTTGAATATCAATTCGTATGATCAAAGTTCAATTTTATTAAAAGATTCGTCATGTGCAATTGAAACTAATGTTTATAGTTATAATCAATCATTGGTTGACAATGTTTGTGCTATTTTTCTTGCAAATCTCAATGCAGAAAATCAATCGAAGATTCAAATGAATTCATCATTTGTTTGTCCACAAAAAACAATCGTTAATGGAAAAGATCAAGGAGAAATCTTAGAAATTTGTGCATCTCAACTAATGAATATCATTGCAACACAATCTTCAATAATTACAATGAATTCTACACATAATTGTCCAAATGAAACACAAATTCTTGCAACAGATCAAGCAATTCTATCAAATATATGTGCAAATAATCTTTTAAATATTTCTACAACACAATCTTCTTCAGTTCAAATGAATTTATTATCAAATTGTCCAAAAGATACAATAGTTGTGAGTGTTGATCATAGTAATATCTCAAATATTTGTGCAGTTAATCAAATGTATATTGAAACAAACGATTCATCATGGGTTTCAATGAATGAAAGTGCACCATGTCCAAATATTCTCATAATAAAACATGAAAGTACAAATCCAATTGTAAATCTTTGTCCATCAAAAGTTTTGTATTTAACAACCCTTGATCAAGCAGTTTTTACTTTAAATTCATCATCGATTTGTACAATAACAACTGTTCTTGTTGCTTCTGGAACAACAAAAACAACTGGTCTTTGTGCGAAAAATACATTAAATATCACAGGTAATGATTTATCATTGATTAGTGTTGATCCATTATCACAATGTCCAAATAATACTTCGATTATCGGTTCAAATCAAACACAAATTGAAAATATTGGAGCAATTTCCACATTATTCATTCAAATAAATGAATCAACAAATGTAACAATTAATCCAAATTGTTCGTGTCCACAAAATATCTTTGTTATCACTTCAAGTCTTATTCCTCTTGATCAAATTTGTGCACAAAATACAATGAATATCATTTCAAAAGATTCTTCTCTTCTCATTCTTAATACAATGATCACATGTCCACATATGATGAATATCATCGCATCAGAAAATACATCGATTTCGAATATTTGTGCAACAACATCATTAAATATTCAGATAAATCAAACAGCAAATGTTTCACTCAATCAAAACTCATCATCATGTCCTTTAAATACATCAATTACCAGTTCAACAATGTTTCCAATAAGAAATATTTGTGCCCAATATTCTTTACAATTGATTTCAAAGTTAATTTCAAATCTTTTTGTCGATTCCAGTGTAACTTGTCCTTACACAACAAATATCACTGCAATGGATAATTCAACAATTACAAATCTTTGTGCTTCATCTCAATTAACAATCCGAGTCAAAGATAATGCAAATATTTCTCTCAATTCTACGTGGCCATGTTCACAAAATACAAATATCTTCAGTTCAACAAATATTCCAATAACAAATATTTGTGCAAAAAATACTTTACAAATAATTTCAAAAAATTCTTCAAATCTTTTTATTGATTTATCAAAAGTCATTCCTCAAACTACACTTGCCATAGCTTCACAAAATGCAGTCGTTTCGAATATTTGTGCAACAAATCGATTAAATATTCAATCAACAAACATTGCAAATGTTTCCATGAATGAAAATTGTTCATGTCCACAATTGACAACAATTATGAGTTCAAGTTCTAATCCAATATTTCATATTTGTGCAAATTCAACATTAAAATTAACAACAAGTAATTCATCAACTATTTCTGTTGATTTAACAAACATTTGTCCACAAACGACAATTGTTTCAGCTTCACAAAATAGTTCAATTCCGAATTTATGTGCAATTAATTATTTAAATATTCAAATGATAGATATGGCAAATATTTCTCTCAATTCTACATGGCCATGTCCACAAAATACAAGTATTATCAGTTCAAGTTCAATTCCAATTTCTCATATTTGTGCACAAAATACTTTACAATTAAGTGGAAGTATCAATTCCAATTTAACTGTTGATTTGTCAGTTGTTTCTCCTCAAATGACAAGTATTATTGCATCGGGAAATTCTTTTATTCCGGATGTTTGTGCCATATCTCGATTAACAATATCTGCATCTAATACAGCAACAGTTTCTATTAATTCAACATGTCCATGTCCAACATTTACTACGATAAACAGTTCAAGTTCTATTCCTATTTTTGATATTTGTGCACAAAATACTTTACAGTTAAATGCTCAAAATACATCAAATTTAATTGTTGATTCTTCAACAAATTGTCCTCAAATCACAAATGTAATTGCTTTACAAAATAGTTCTATTTCCGATTTATGTGCATCATCTCAATTAATCATTCAAGCATCAGATATGTCCAATGTTTCATTGAATTATACTTGGCCATGTCCACAATCTACTGCAATCACAAGTTCAAGTCTTATTCCAATATTACATATTTGTGCTCAAAATCAATTACAATTAAATGCAAAAAATAAATCACATTTAATCGTTGATTCATCAGCTTCATGTCCTCAAACAGCAAGTATAATTGCCTCACAAGATACAATCATTGCTACACTTTGTGCTACAAATCAATTAAATATTCAAACATCAAACAATGCAAATGTTTCAATTGATTCCAATTGGCCTTGTTCTCTTCAAACAACAATTAATAGTTCAAGTCTTATTCCAATTTCTCATATTTGTGCACAAAATACTTTACAATTAATTGCAAGTAGTTCATCGAATTTAATTATCAATTCGTCACAAATTTGTCCTCAAAATACAACTATAACAGCTTCACAAAATTCTTCTATTTCGAATATTTGTGCAATAGGACAATTACATTTGACTTTATCAGATTCAGCAAATGTTTCATTGAATTCTGCATGGCCATGTTCACAATCGACAATTATTCAAAGTTCAAGTTCAATTTCAATTTCGAATATTTGTGCAAATAAGTCTTTACAATTAACAGGAAATAATTCAGCAAATCTCATTATTGATTCAAATAATTTCTGTCCACAAAATGCAAACATAGCAGCACATGGATCTTCTCTCATATCGAATATTTGTGCTTTCTCAGGATTAACTCTTCAAATAACTGATTCAGCAAATATTTCATTGAATTCAACATGGCCATGTCCACAAATGATGAGTGTATCAAGTTCAAGCTTCAATTCTCTTTCACATATTTGTGCCAATAATTCTTTACAATTAACAGCAAGTAAATCAGCTAAGCTTTTTGTTGATACATCGATGATCTGTCCATCAAGTACAACTATGAAAATCTCTGATAATTCATATATTGACAATGTTTGTGCTTTATCAGGATTAACAATTGAAACATCTGGTACGTCAAATTATTCATTGAATAGAACGTGGCCATGTCCACAATATTTGTCTTTAACAAGTTCAAGTAGTGTTTTAATCAGCGATATTTGTGCACAAAAAGTTATGAAATTAATTGGTAGTGTTTCATCATATTTGAGGATGAATTCAAGTGGAATTTGTCCACAAAATGTCACTGTTATTGCTTTAGACAATACAACAATTTCAAATCTTTGTTCAATATATCAATTAACTATTCAAGCAGAAGATTATTCAAATATTTCAATTGATTCTTCTATCTCTTGTCCACAATATTCATCAGTGAATAGTTCGAGTAATTTCTCAATCAGTGATATTTGTGCTTCTGTTCAAGTACAAATTTGGGCAACTCAAGGAACTGCAATAACAATGAATTCTTCAATAATATGTCCAAAAGAGGCACAAATTGTTGCTTCAGATCAATCAAAGATTTCAAATCTATGTGCAATTAATAATTTAACTATTGAAATATCTGATTCTGCATTTGTTACAATGAACAATTCTTCATCATGTCCACAAACAGCAACTGTCAATGCCATTAATTCCAATAATTCTTTATCATTTTGTGCATCAAATTCTTTGAATATAAATTTGATCAATTCATCATATCTTTACAATTCAACGCAACAATGTCCCAATGAATTGAATATCACAATTAGTGATAGTAGTGAGATTTTCAATGTTTGTTCAAATCAAACAATAAATATCGATGCAAAAAATTCGAGCCTCATCTCCGATCAATCTCGATGTCCATCAAATGTGAATGTTATTGCAACAGATGAAGCTATTGTTTATATTTGTGCTACAAATTCCATATCTGCATATGCATCATTCAATGCAAGTATATTTTATAATGGAACATTAAGCACGAACTCGTCAAGTGATGGAGGACAAATTTTACCTTGGATTTGAACAATCGAATTCATGATTTACAAACAAAACTTGCTTTTTAGATTTTAGTTTGACAAAGAAAATAATCTTTGCAAACAATTTTCATTTATTCGCTAAAAATAAACACAACTTATTTAATGGAAATGTTCTCTCTTAATATAAATTCATGCAAAATAGACCAAATATATTGATTAAAGATTCAGTTGATGAAGATTACTTGAAAATGAGAGAAACGTGATCTCATTTTTAATAAGAATAAGCGCATCGAAATAATTTCCTATAGAATAACGGAAACAATGTTTAATGGAAAATTTTTCTCTTGCTTTGTGCCGAATGCACCAATGAATTCTTTTTATGTTACGTTTCCATTCTAAAAGTATTTCCGTATACATTTATCTTCTTGCTGCGTCGTACATTAATGAAGTTATCAACTGCAGGACACGTGAATGAAAGTCAGGGAAAATGTTCACAGTCATATCCAATCTCGTTCTCATCATCGATCGTTGTTTTGTAAATTTGAACTTATCTTGTTTCTATGACAAAAGAATGTACTCTTCTCTTCCGATTGTAACTGAATATTTTGATCAAATATGAAAACAAGATGGGTTTTACTTAGTGGCGGCGCCAGGGGTGGGCTCAGCCCACCCTAAAGGTATCTGAGCCCACCATGAGTTTTCCTGAAAACCAGCGATAAATAGACTCTAGGGTGGGCTCAAATAGCCTGAGCCCACCCTAGTCTGGGTTAAGATGGGCTAAGTCCACCCTAGTGAGAATTCTTGGCGCCGCCCCTAGTTTTACTATCGTTGAAGAACTTGATTCATCCTCTTGTCCTGGTGGTTTCTGTTTTGATAATAATATTGTATTATTCAAGGAAATATCAGCGATGAAAATGGACGAGTAAATAGTTTAAGACAGTTATATCACCTTACAGTTTTGATGATTGATCGATTTTATTAAATTTTTTCGAAATACGTAATAATCTTAATTATTGTGTTGTAAAAAATGGTCCTATGAAGGAATAAAGTGTTCTCGATGAAAATCTTCACGTTTCTGATTGTTTTAACCGCATCGAATACAGAAAATTTCCAGCACAATTCACGAGATCTTTCTCATCAAACTAATGTAAGGAGAAAAGCGAATTCTACTGATTCTCGTCTTCTGGAAATTCTTGACAGATAGTCGTTTTTCTTTAAGTTTATTTGATTGGCATCAATTCATAAAATACCCATCGTGTCCAAAAATATGCCTTGCATCTAAAATTATGTGTTATTTCAGATGAATCAGTGTTTTCACGTAGGAAAATGCATTTTCCTCTCCAGTATAATATGTGATTCTCGATGGTCTGAGTACATCCGGTAATATTATCTGGCACATCTTTCACTAGTTTTCATCAACTTTATTCTGTCATCAATGTTTTTTCATGATTTATTTTGTATTTTCATTGATTTTATGATAAAATCGGTGATCAGCAGTGGATTGCCTCCCTTTTCTTTGATAATTATGATCTTCTTTAGTGTCTGTATACCAGAGACTGTGATGCACACGAATGATGAGATATATGAAACACGAATATTCTCTTGTAATATAGATAGAGACAATCATCGATGAATAGCGATGTGGTGTGTCATTGATGCTTTGGAGATATTCATCGGAATGGATGAATAGGTGGTATTCCAAAAACTCGATGAATTTCGATGTGTCGTTGAATTCACAAATTTTCATTAGTGAAGTATGTCATCGATTTTGTTGCATTTTTCATCGACCCTTTTCACGTGTTTTCATACGTGATTTCTCCCTTTTTGGGGAACCTAATTGTTACTGTTATTCGCCTACGAAAAATATCTCCTTTAAGTTTATTTCTAAAAGATTACAAAATATTTATTGAGTAATATTTAAGGGAACGATTCATTTTGCCATAATTTACTTTAATGGTTTCACAAATTTGTTTTTTTACCGAAAGAGTAATCAAATATTTCAAATGAAAACATATGCTTCAATTAGAATTCGAGTAGATCTCATAGTTTTGCGTATTAATAATGGTCAAAATATTTGATACAAATAAGATTTCTTCATGTGATAAATCTGTTCCATATGATAAAGACAAACGAACTCATCCTCGAAGGTATTTCAGTTGTTCTATTCTATTTATTTTTTTTAAATTTCTGCTTAGATGCGTCGCTTTTTCACGATTCAAACTATGTTTTTGTCTTTCTTTAATTTGTTTACTTTTCGTTCTCATTGGAATAATCATTCTTATTGCAATCGTTTTCTCTTCACATCGATCACAAAGTATAAATCACAATTGTTTCTCTATTTTCTCATCAAATCATTTTAGAAGAAACAGAATCTACGATTACAATAACAGTAACAACTTCGGCAATGACGACGACAACGACAAGTTTTGTATTGAAATCGAATTGGATAATAAATGGCGATGGAGAAATAGGTCCATGTGAATCAGGAAATAATATAACAAATCCAACTGGATGGTTTTCTAATGGAACAATAACACAAGTTTATTACAACAATACATTTGCTGATCAATATTTCACAGATCCAGGACCAGAGTAAGTGAAAAAAATAGAGTTTTTGTCTTAAAAGATTTTTGTTTTTGTTTCGAAGTGATCGTGGCCAGTGTTATTTTTATGGCCAAAAACCCTTTTCAACAACTTCTATGTGGCAGTATGTGAACATAACAGATTCAATTGATCCAAGTCTAATCGATAATCAAACAATTTCATATAATTTCTCCGCGTGGATTGGTGGTTATGCAAGTCAAGCTGATTATGCTCAAGTTTCACTAACATTTCTCGATCAAAATAATCAAAAGATTGGCAGTACAATTATCCTAGGTCCAGTATCAAATGTCCAACGATCAAATCTCACTTCATTACTTTATCGACAAATACATGGATTAGTTCCAAACGGTTCTCGTTCGTGTCTTGTTTTAGTGACAATTACTCGTGTTTATGGACCAACAGCAGATGGAGATATTGACAATATTTCTCTCAATTTTTCTTAATTCATCTTTCGTCGTTACTGAATTTTTCTTTCTCAAAATCTGAGAATTTATTTTGACTAAACCAAAGCGCATAAAAAAGATCATCATGAATGTCATTTACATATGAATCGTTGATTTTCATTTCCAAGAAAAGATTATATTTGAAGGGTGGAAGTGCAAATGAATAGAATTTATGTGAATGAGTGTGACCTATATACAGCCGTAGGCGAAACTATTTCAAATCATCTCTGTATACGTTAATGTTAACAAAGCTTTTGTTAAAATCTATGTGCTTCGCGTGAACCGAGTCGAAATGTCAACAATATGTTAATAATAATAATAGATTTAAAACATCTTAGTATTATAGTAGACTGACGAGATGAGCGCATTGCTCGAACCAATCAGTGTATTCTTTATCATTGATCTACGAGATAACTTCTGAACGGGCAATCTGATTGTGATGAAATTTTCAATAGCGTGTTATTACATCGGAATCTCGTTGAAATTCGAAGATGATACTGACTGGACGAGTGAATTGTGAATTAATGAAAAACTGTCACTACTTCTGTATGGCTTTTTACGTCTTGCAGCTGATGCACTTTTTGTAGCATACTTAGCTTTTGGATAAGATCCGAAGTTTCTGCACTTATTAATATTTACAGGCACATGATCTCTGATGTTATTTTTAGCGGTATAACTTTAACGATGATTATCAATTTTTGAAAAACGAAATCCTTTCGACAAAATAAGAGATTTTTTGTTCGAAACAAAGATACACATTAGAAAGAACTCATTGAATTCTACCCAGGTCGAACAATCCCATACTCGGATCCCACTGGGTCCAATATAGGATTTTATCAGATCCTACAGGAATTCGACGGATCCGAAACATGGATTTCCGGGATTTTCTAAGGGTCATCATAGAACATAGCTAAAAAGATCGCTCATAAAATTTGCAACAACCGACGAGATTTTTCTAGTCGTATTCCAATGCAATTCCGTTTCCAGGAATCCGATCGGATACAGCATCGGATTTGTTGACCTGGGGAGTCAAATAATGACGATGTGGAAGATACAGTTGTAACACTGATAAATTCAACTACTTCAAATATATAGACATATCTAATAATTATAACTCAATTCTTCCAGTTGCTTCAGTAATAAGCACAACATATTGTAATCAAAAGAGCATTGTTGATCAATACACACTAAACAGAGAGCAGAAAGCTGCATTCATGATAATAACAAGTCACCTTGATGGCGACAAACCGTCACACGCAGGTATGTTCATGCACATGGTTCTATATAATTATAAATTGAAAAATATCATCCATATAGGAGATAACAATGGTCAACTCATCATGTGTATACCCGGATGTGGTGGTACAGGAAAATCACAACTTATTCGTACTGTGACTGAATATTTTCTTGTTACAAACAGAATACAAAAGATGCGAAAGCTAGCACCTACTGGAATTGCAGCCGCTGAAATTGGTGGTATGACTATCCATTCATTCTTAGGTGAACAACGCAATTCTGGAAAACCACTTNACTGATTTTTCGTCAGAAAACAAAAAGAAATTTAATAAACTACCTTCGGAAAAAGAAATACAACAGCGTGTTGCGCGTTCATTAATTCTACAAATGAATTGTGTGGTGAAACTTACTCAACAGATGCGAACAGAAGATCTGCGATACCTTCAATTACTTGAGCGACTTCGTGAAGGTCAATGTAATTTTGAAGATTATGAATTATTATTGACGCGCGTTGTCGGAGAGTCATCAGTATCACTTCGTGAACCACCATGGAATCAAGTAATAATATATTTCTGTATTCTACACCCGTATATTTTCTATTTTGTTTATTTTAGGCTCCGATGCTTGTATTTAGAAATGAAATAGGAACGCAATTGAACCACAGATCAGCAATTCATAATGCAGTAGAAGTCGGTACCAATCTAATGGTATGTGTTGCTCAGGACTTTTGTAAAGGCAAACCTGTGGAAGAGCCGGCACTCCCTAAAAAATTATTGCAATTATCTGACAGTAAGACTGAGCACTTACAGGGATTGTTACCGTTAGTTCCTGGAATGCCAGTTATTATTACACAAAATATTGCTATTGAACTGGGATTAATTAACGGCATGAATGGAATTTTTAGACAACTAGTCTATGATCTTGACTCAGTGTCAACAGACAGTCTGTCAAAAACGTTTCCAGTGAACACCCAATATGTGCACAAGCCAATATATGCATTGATCAAAATAAGCAAATCCAAAATTGAGTGGAATCTTGAAAAGCTTCAACCAAAACTCATTCCAATATCAATAATGGAACAAACCTTTCAGGTAGACATTTCGAATATTCTTCCGAAAGTCAACAACAAATAAAAAACCGACAGAAAGGCAATGGTATCGATTAAGCGACGTGCATTACCTCTTGTATCCGCCTATTCTATTACAACTCACAAAAGTCAGGGACAAACTTTAAACAAAGTCGTTATTGATTTGAAACTATCAAAGGATACAGATGACATCGCTACAATCTATGCACCATTATCAAGAGTGAAACGTTTAAGTGACTTAATTATTTGGCGACACTTTGATTACAAAGTCTTGCAGATCAAACCCAGTAAATCTCAAGTTGCCGAGATCCAAAGACTAGACAAACTCTATATGGAAACTCAGAAGCGTTTCTCAGAATAGTTTTGACAAATTCGATAGAAAAGACAAATCACCATTGCTTGTCATCCATTTTGCACATCGGATTCATTTGTATCACTTGTAACTGTGCAAATCTCTTGTATAATTAAACATTTTCTCTATTAAGTCGTTGTTTTGTAATCGAAATCCAAATTTTGTTTTCAATTTTACCGTAACTATTAGGTTTTGTTCCACGCTTCTTATTCGTACTCGCATATATTTTATTCATATTTTGACTTCTTTAGAGATTCAGTTAGAACTAATACAAAAGATTATTTGCTTTCTTTCATGTAGTTGTTTATTATATCATCAATTTGTCTTTATTTCATTGAAAAACAAATAAATAAACTTCATATTGGAAAACNTTTCAATTTTACCGTAACTATTAGGTTTTGTTCCACGCTTCTTATTCGTACTCGCATATATTTTATTCATATTTTGACTTCTTTAGAGATTCAGTTAGAACTAATACAAAAAATTATTTGCTTTCTTTCATGTAGTTGTTTATTATATCATCAATTTGTCTTTATTTCATTGAAAAACAAATAAATAAACTTCATATTGGAAAACATTTTCTCTTATATGATATGAAAAAACAATAACAAGTTGATTATTACATATGAATCTTTTCAGTCGAGGGTAATGCGAGTCCGTCTCGACGAGCGTTATTTATGTCTTTGAGATTACCTGATCTATTTGTTCTCTTAAAATATACATACAATCAAGTGTAAGTGAACGCAGTTCGGTCATTGTATGTAAATTCATTGACGCCCAACTACGAAATATTGCAAAACGAATGATTTGTGTCGGTGCAAAACTTGATATGTAGTCAAGTTCACAGTGATTGAAACAGTGAATAAAAATATTCAATCTTACATATTTAATAAGGCAATCAATTCGTTTGTTGAGACGTTTAAAACTGTAAAGATCGATAGGCTCGACGTATCGAAAAATTTCTGAGAACAGTTCATCGGGAAGTACTTCAAGTTGAAGTTGATTTGACGATAGGCTGTCGTTCATTCGACTATGACGGGAATTATGCGTTAATCTAAGTTGGAAAATTTCTACTGTTGCTTGTCAAAGGAGACAACGTCACTTTCAGTTTACCTTTATTCTTTCTGTCCAAATGAATAGCTTACCTGCATTTACATCAGCATTCGATTGAAATAGAAAAGCCATTCGATCATGTGAATTTTGTTTCTTTCGTATGGATGTAAAAATGTCTGGTAAACAAAATGTGAACGAGACCGAGGATGTGCGTCGAATTTGTTTGAAAATGCAGGATATGTGACCCCACTTAGGTCAGTCGAGTAGTCATCTCATTTCACAATGTTCAACATTTGGTAACTAGTTCCGCTCGTGCAATCAATTACAAAATTCCCTTTCTTCACGATCATAAACAATTCTTAGAAATCCTGGGCCACGCCTACATCCTCAAGATGGTTTTTATCAACTATTAGAAAAGCATTTTATTCATATGTAGAAAATATTTCAAAAACTACTGTAAGCTTTTGCAATGATCTCTTGAAATGTTTCATAAATATTCATGATTCGATATTCCTAGAATATGATGTGGGTATGTCGTTCTATGTTTGACTCCAGCGTTTTATCACTTTAATTAACTCTTTCTTGTACATATTTGATGGTAATATAAACACAATGAGTGTCAACATTGATGGACTGAATGAAATGAAATAGCCAAATAAAAAGAGCCAATGCTCCTCTCGAGCTGATTTCTTACATCCAGATAAAAATGAAATGATCAAGCGAGGAAGAGCTAGTATTATAAGAATAAATGGTGATATTAGTAAATGTTTATGATGCTGGAATTGTCTGTGTAAAAAGCGTATGTATGACTGCGTTTTCTGAGTAACCAGAAGATTATGAGCTGTAACAATGATAATGATACATGCCGAAATACAATTAATTATGAATGGAATAAAAAAATGAAGAATACTTATAACTGAATCAAATATTTCAACAGTTGATGAGTATTTAGCAAAACACCATAATCGTTGTTCTTCTTCGTCATAAGATAGATAGCGATTAGTTGGATCATGAATATACGTACACGAAGTCAAGACAAAAACCATTAGAATAACCCATTTAGCAATTTTTTTACTTTTTTTTTTGTTAAAATGAATGCCGATTAAAATACTGACAGCTCTTTCAATGGCCACCCAGCCACCAAGCCAATCAACACTACTAAGAAGAACGCGAAGAAAAAAATCCACCAGTATACATTGTATACGAATGAAACGACGATTACTAATCGAACCTGTTTGTGATGCAAGCAGAAACCAAAATTTAATAACACATACAGTTATTGTAATCATTGCTGTTATCGACGAAGCAAACAGGTACAAACCGCAACCAACTTGACATACTATCTTAGAACGAAATGTTAGAAATGAAAGAAAATTACTGATAAAACCAAAGAGAAATATAATTGCAGATAATATAATCGCCACCTTGATAATAGTAGGTTGTTGAGTAATTCTTAGATTTGAACGGATTTGATAATTCAAAATAGCATCTAAGGAAAGGCTCGGACCTTTGATAGAATATTGACATTTTGATCCATAATAGCAATCAACACAAACACAAAGCGATGATGTTGGACACTTGGAATAATCTTGAAAGCAATAACCATTATTTTCACATAAATTTGCACCTTGACAATCATATGTTGTATTATGATCGAATTTGAAACAGTTCGCTCGTCGATAATGATCACATAAACAAATATGAGTATTATCATAGAAACAAATGAGATCAGATCGTTCTTGACATGGAATATGGTAATATTTAATACGTTTCAATAAATGCTTTTTTGCAAATGTCTTATTGAATAATTCATCAATTGATAAACATCGATGCGATGGAATAATTTTTATGGAAATATCAGTTGTGTTAATCGGTTGCTCTTGAAGAAAGATTAAATAGTAATTATTATGAATAATTACGAAAATCAGATTAAATGTGAACGAAACGTAGAATGACAACGAATTTTGATCAAATCGTATCTTTTTCATTATACTTGTTTGAATATGTTCTGCTCCTTTTCGAACCACGATAAAATGAATAATTAGCGATTGTGGAATAGATAACTGATCATGAAATGCTATTTCAATTTGAGTCTGTTGATGTTCACAACGATCACCTGAATATTGTTCAGGGCAAATACATGCCAGATTATTTCTATGTGAAAATGTATGACGCTGGTCACCTGGCACACAAGTACCTCCGTTTAAGCATGAATCAGATTGACATGAAGATCTAAGAAGATAACATCGAGGACCAAAGCGTTCAAGAGGACATAAACAAATGGAATCGCTAACACATACTGACTTAGAAGAGCAATTACAAGTATATTTTTTGTCACAGGCAACACCCGACCACCCAGAGTCACATCGACAAAATGTTAAATTTCGATTATTGACATAACTGAAACATTTACCATGTAGACATGATGATTGACATTTTTGAAGAAATATCATATCTAAGTCAGGAACAAGAAGTAAAGCAGACAGACGATATACGGGTAGAAATAGAAATTGAATTGGATAAATCCAACTGGCACGATAGTTTAATGTTGACGTAGTACCCACGGAAAAATGTTTAAATAAATACCGCCGATAAACGCGGTTTTTGACGGAGACTGCGGTGACAGCATTGAACACCGCGGGGATGAAAATAAACCGCA